CTTCCTGTCCTTTCTGTTATTTCACTAAACTTATTACTGTCCTTGTCAAGTCCCCACGGGTTTTTCCCAATATCCCCCTCGTTTTGCCTATTACTTTTTCCCCCAGACTATATTGTCCCTGGGTTTTTCCTGTTTTCCCACCAAAACATATAAACTAACGTATTCTATTCAAGATTGAGGGACGCCCACATCGAAAAGGGGTGAGGGAGTTCCCTCTTCCCCTCCTGTTCTTCAATTTTATCCTTTGTTGGACGTGAAGCCCGTGGGCGAAACGTTTTTCCCCAATAAAAATACCCAAGAGTTGCACATGTGTCTAATAAAAAATATGTCGGTTCTTTGAACCCTTCTCTACAACTATTCCTAGTTTTAAAGTCCTAACAGCTCCCACAACTGCAGTTGCCCGTGCTACCACCCCAGACCAGTAAGTGAAAAACCCCATCCTGGCATAAAAGTTTTTCTGCCATGAAGAGGTCCCAGTTGTAAAAAATGTTACCCCTTTTCCTTACAGTATTTGTCAGCCAGCAATTTCACCAAATTTCCCGGGGACCATTCGTTTTCAACTCCTCTCCTTGGTTAAATACCCAATACAGGGGTTTTCCCCCCTTCCCCCTAATTATCTCTATTTCTAACCTATACCCGCAATTTAGGTCCCCATCCTAGTATGCCAACATCGTTGCCTCAAGCACTGGCGATAATAGGGTTGCTCCCATTAACCCCTCAGATTCATCCAGACGGTAACAATACCCCATCCCAGTGAGGAAAGAAACCCCCTGCTCCCACTCCTGTCCCTTTAAGCAGAATGCCCCATCCTGTATCTAACCTGGCTATCCCCCCAAAAACAATAAATTCTTACCTTCCTTGGTTTCGTTTGTCGTGACGTTCCCAGTTGTGGAATTCGTCAAGACGTCTCGAGGGTCTTCGTTGGGGTTTCTAGGGTTCTCACTCATGTCTGCCAAGTTTCCCTTTTGGTGCCGTTGTGACTTTCCCAGTAAAACACCCATTCGTCAGGTAGCACCGAAAAGGGGTTGGGAAAGTTTTCACAGTAGTCTTCGGGTTTTCCTCGTTTTTTTTGCCTCTCCAACATTTTTTTTCGTTGGTTCCATGTTACTGAAACCCCAATTTCCTTTTAACCGGGGGCTCAAAAAGGGGGATTACTCAAATCCTTTGTTCCCCGTTAATCCCGCATTCCAGCTTAGCAACCCCAAGCTTTTCTTTCAGCTGCGGTAAAGTGCTAAAGGAGGGAAAAAGGGGTTCGACCCCAGAGAGACAAAAAAGGTCTTCACAAAAAACAGGTCTTAAACCTTGGGGCGATGTGGTCAGTTTTTCAATTTAAATAGAAAACGGCATTGTCGGGGGAAAAGCAGCTTATATTTTATTCAAGTTTGATGGAGCCCACTCGACTAAAGGTTGAGGGACTGTTACTTCTTTTCCCTCCTGTTCTTCAAGTTTCCCCCTTTTGTATGGATGATAAAGCCCTGTGGGGCGAACGTTTCCTCAATAAGATCCCCTTTGAGTTGCACATGTGTTTTAATTTATCAACGTTCGATCTCTGAACCATTCATCTACAATCCTTTCAGACATGCAACTTCTTGGATCTTGATATTTGGGGAAATTTCCCTCGCTTCCCTACCCTTGGGCACAACTATTTCCACCTCTCTCCCTAGGGTTTAAACTGTTCATGCACATATCCCGTGTTTATTCAAGATTGATGGACTGCCCACACGACTAAGGTGGGGGATGACTACCTCATTCTCCTCCTTTTTCTTCAAGTTTCTCCAGGGGGGTTGCCATGTGTCTGTAAGCAGCCCCTTGTGAAAGGATTTTGTTTTTTGTTGATGATTTACCCCCTATATATTTGCAAATAAAAATTTTCGTTATTGGGGGAAAATTAGGGGGATTTATTTGGTGGCCTAATATCGTTGAAGTTTGAGACACTTATGCAACATATAGGGAATCTTACTGGGAAACTTTTCGCCACACAGTGGCTTCTACCAGAAAAAGGGCGAAAAATTGGAGGGGAGGCCAATGACTGTGCCTCTGCTCCAAAGTGTTTTCAGTTGGGGGTGTAAGGTTGCTTCATTTCTTGCCAGTTCTTTTCCCTTCTGGCCCAAAAAAAATTGTGTCCCTGGAGAGATTATGGCCCCCCTCAATTTTTTCCCCATAGTCTGGGGGTTTCGTCTTTTAAACCCCCTTTTAGATGATGTGCCTGGCAAAGTTGTTAAAGTGAAACTTTTTAGAGTGAAATAATTTACAGGAAGGAATTTGCACTCTATGTTGTCATGGGGGTGTGGTTTTTTTTGGGGATGGTCAAAAGGTGCATGTCCCCCTTTTTTTACCGGGTTTAACCTGCCTGCGATACCCAAGGATAGAATTGCTAGTTTGGAGTTTTGTTTACTGGTTTTTTTTGCAGCGCATTCGCTGGGGGCGCATTTTTTCCTGTTTCCCTCACCTACCGCCCCTGTATGGACATCGTGTTTTCCCCCGGGTTTTTGCCCTGGGTCTACCCCTTTTTTGTTTTTCTCCGAAATATTGTTTTTTGTTCCCTGTAAGCTGAATACGTTCCTTGACTTGTTTTATCCCCCATGGCCAATATCTCCTTTTGGTTTATGTTCCCCCGGGACAACATAGCACCCTAAACACTAGCATCTTCCCAGACAGCCCCTCTAACCCCCCTTTTTTATTTCTCAGCTGTTATCATGCGACTGTCTTCCAAGAAGGATCTTTTTTTAGTGTTTTTGTTTTTAATTAATGTAATTTTCCCCATACAGGCGACTCATCTGATTTTTTCAGATGTGGTCGCAAGTTTTAAAAACCCTAAACACCCCATGGGGCCATTTACCCCAGAGTTGCAAGCAAACCAAGCATGCTTTCCCTCCCTGATCCTTCTGCAGACTACCAATTTTAAGGTGGTGGTCATCAATAACACATTACAGCTCTCCAGAAACTAGCTACAATTTACAGAAGTATTTAGTTGTCTTTACCATTCTTCCGGCTTGGCTACCTTTGGGGAGGCCTTAAAAATATTATATTCAAAATTAAATGATAAGATTTTTTAAATGTATGATAAAATAGGTTTCTGAGCATTCTAAAAAGCTTTATTTATTTCAATCTCTCAGTTATTTTTTTAACAGTAAGACAATGAATTACTTTCCTAAGCAGCGAACTCCTCATTTTTCTGAATGAATTTTTATTATCATGCAAAATTCATTAATTTTGCCTTCGTTAACCACCAGTTATAAAAACATGTAACCTTGACTTTCCCATTTAAAAAATCAGAAGAATTAAAGAAAGTTCTGTTTTTGTTATTGTCGAAAAAGATATAAAACAAATTAGAAGAATAAAAAGGAAGGCAAAAAAACGAGATGACAAAAGAATTTTACCCTTTTAGGATCAAAATTTGACATACAAAGTAAGGCAATATTAGGGAAAACCATTTACCAGATTCTATGAATCTTCCCAAAATTTTGTTCTCCTCTTTCCCATAAAGCTTGTAATTACCAAAATAATAAAAAAAAATAATAATAATAAAAAATAATAATAATAATAATAAAAAATAAAATAATAAAAAATAAAAATAATAATACCACTGTTCGTGGAAAAAAATCAGAAAATTTTCGCCAGTTTGGGAACACCTTTACAAAAAATTCGCCCTATTCCCCTTTCCTTATAAAAGGGAAAAAAGAAAAATTTAAAATTTACAAAATTTAGAAATAAAAGGCCCGATAAACCTGTTTTCAGTGTGTTAGATGTCAGGGGGTGAGTAGAGAAACAGTTTTTAAAGTGAGTCTGAGAGAACAGTTTACGAGTGAGTCTGAGAGAACAGTTGTACAAGTGAGTTGAGAGAACAGTTTACAGAAATGAGTCTGAGAGAAAAAGTTGTACGAGTGATCTGAGAGAACAGTTGTACAGAGTGGTCTGAGAGAAAAGTGAGAGTTCAGATATTTAATATATTGGGAGATGAAAAATTAATGTCTAAAGATTTAATTTAAGGGTTTTTATCTTTTAATTACAACCCAAATTTTTTTAATAACTATTAAAAACTTTCGTAGTTGTTAATTTTAATAGTTAAATAAAAATATTGAGTTATTTTCAGTCATGTACAGTTTGAATTTAAATGTTTGTTATTATTTGGGCATTAATTTGTAAATTTATTTGATTTGATAATCTGAATTTTGGTTTCCAACAAAAAATAAAAAGAAGATTACTCTTTTAAAATTTTTTATTGGGTTAATGGTCCTTGTTTTGGGGTTTTTCCATTTTTTATTTCTTCTAAAAATGATGTATTTTTTCCCCCTAAAAGATGATTTAAAAACGGAAAAAAGAATAAAGACGGGTTCCCCCTCTGGGTTTTTCATTTGTTTGTTTTTTTAAAGGTTTTTTACCCTAAAAAAAGTTAATTAAGATTTTTGGGTTTTTAAAAGGATTAGGGGTAATATCTATCTTTTTGTTGTAAATTTTTTCAAAGTGAAGAATGTGCGTTGCAGGGTTGAAATTTTTATTTCATCTGGTGGTATGTAGCTTTTTACTGGAATTCTTGGGATATTTTTTTAAAGGGGTTTGAATTTTTTTTTTTTTAGATTATAATTTATAACTTTGGCAGGAAGAACTTTTTAAATTTAAAGATTTTGCCGTGTCGGGCAGCCATAAATTAAAGAATTCTTTTCCCTTTTTTCGGCTTGGGCTGTCCTACCCCTTTGCTATTGTCCTTCTTAAATTTTTTTATGGGTTTTTTTTAAAATTAATCTTTTAAGAACCCGTTGTGAAAAACTGCCCAACGGTTGCTGTTCCATACCCATGGTTACTTTTATTGCAACGGGGAAAGGGAAAGTCCCACAAAACCATCAAGACCATTACACATGCGAAGGCCACTTATACCATGGTCAAAGCTACTACGCAGGGCAAAAGGCCCTTCGCATGGTACAAACCCACTTACAGATGGTCGCAAGACCCTTACAGCATGGTCGAAGGCCATTTATAGCATGGTCGAAGGCCCCACTTACATTTGGGTCGCAGGCCACTTGCAACATGGCGCAAAGCAAACAACCTAGCTGTAAGAGCAATCAACCTGGTAGTGAAGACATCTCAACTTAACGTAAAAGCCCAAAAGGAAATGTAAACCTTCCATCCCCCCCACCCTAACCCCCCTGTTTATTTTGAGATTTTTTTAAACAGTACTATACTGTTATTTGAAATACTGATTATCTGGAGCCATCCAGAATTTGGGCTTGCGGTTTTGGAACCCAGTTTGTTTGGTGGTATAGGAAGGAACCCACCATGGGGTTTAAAATTTCTTGAGTTGTCTCCCTTCTTTAGAAGAACACATTCTGAAAAATGGCAAAGATTGTAATGGATAAAAAGAGAAAAAACGAAAATGTACAATTTTTTTAAGGTCTTGTATAAAAAGTTTTAAATTAAAATTTAAATAATGGGTGTGTTTTCTTTGTTGTTATTTGTTGTGAGTTTTTGTTATATTCATGGAAAAGTGCCAAAAATGTGGGGATCGAACAGTGCTCGGGGAATGGAGGACAATTATTTGACCCAAAAGGAGTCGGAGATAGCTTCAATAAATTAGCGAAATGGGTTTACTCGGTATAGGTTTATGATACAAACCGGTGACAGTACGGGGCCCCTTTCCCTAGGGAGAGAAATAAGAGGGTATCCCCCTGTAATGCAGCTTCCATGAGGGCTTTCAAGTGAGATTTGGGGCAGACTGTCGCCTGGTGCGCTGCCTGAGTCTGTGTGCCAAGGTCCCTGCTCGGCGTTGCTTACTGACGGGTAAGAAATTAACGGAGAGGCGTGAAAAATGCAATTGTCAAGAATTGTAAAAGAGACACAATAAAGGAAAACTATGACACTTGAAAATCAAGGACATCCATTTGGCGCTGACAAAAGAACGTTAAGTACTACGTAACAATTTTAATACGTCACTGTGTAACAAAAACTACTTTAAAACTAAAAAAAATTGTTGGCTCAAATTTTTTACTTCTTTCTAACCTCTACCCACAATCTTTTTTTTTTCCCTTTAATTACCTCAATTTTTTCCCGTTTATTTTTTCTTTCTTTTAAGGCCTTTGGGAAAAATCAGGGTAACTGAATTTAAAAATAATTTGCAGAATTAAACCCAAATTTTTAAATAATAAAGTCGTTACCCCTTATTGAATAATTCAGCAAATAAAATGGTTTCCTTATATTTGCATGGGCAATCAGAGTCCCAGATAAAGAGCCCTGAAATTACACTCAACCCGGGTTTCAAATATGGTATAGTAAAATCTGAACAATGTAAATTCTTTTGCCCAAAGTTCCCACAGCCACGGTCAAAATGTACTTACTACTACTATTACTATACTATACTACTACTAATAATAATAAAATATCTTTATTTTACAAGTTTTTGTACAAGGATACAGGCCCAGTGACATCAGTGATATACTACTATGTAGAAACCGTTTGTTTGCAGAGCATTTCGGCAAATTTTGGGCAGTTTTTTCCGGATGCACCCCCACCCGTCGACGACACCCGGGTACCCATTTTTAGTGATGGGTGAACATAACGCAGGGTCTTTGGGAAAAACTTCCAAAAATCTTCCAGCTATCGGAGATTCGAACCCGGACCCCAGTGTGTGAGCTGAGTGAAATAGCGATCGAGCACGGGAAAAAAGGCCGCTACAATACTAACAAAGACACAGACAAATACGGCACAAGCTCAAGCATCTACAAGGTCCGAAATGAAAGAACTGTGATGTAACTCTTTTTTATTAGACAAAAAGAAAATCAACTATGATCATCTGAGTTACACAAGCACAAAAGATGTGCCAACATTCCAAGCAAACCCAGATATTTTTGAAAGACTGATGAGGGTCTCGTCCCCTTTTTTCTTTACATCTTTTTTCCAACAAAAAAAAAAATGGGTTCCTCGAGTATCGACTTGACCCTTTGGGAAGAGGGTTTAAGCGCGGACCCGGTTGGGGAAAAGGGGGGGGGCTGAAGCACAGAGATGTGTGTCCCAACACAATTCCTTGCAACGTTTTTGTTCATCTGATATTTTTTGGAACCAATTTTGCACAAACCACTGTTCAATTTTTCCTTTCATTAGAATGTGTCGAACACTTTCCCTGCCAAATGAATTTTCTCAGCTACTGCTCGAACACCTGATCTTCTGTCTTTTCGAATCACCACTCGTACTTTTACAATGTTGTCGTCGGTAACTGCTCTACGTGGACGGCCTGGGCTATCATCTTCCACGCTTTCTCTGCCTTCAGAAAATAGTTTGTGCCTTTCAGAAATGCGAGCACGAGACAGGCACTCTTCATCGTAAGACTCAGTCAGGTTATGTCTTCACAAGCGATTCTTTATATCAATGCTCCACGGAGAAGCAAGTGGGTATATTGAAATAGCTTGAATCCATGCTTGAGGCTCACTGACGTGCCCGGACTTGTGAACCAGGCTGCCCACCTAATGTGGCATTTGTGGCCGAGTGGACAAGAGTGCTGCCTGGGAATATTGACCGTCCCAGTAACAATATCGAGTGCTGCTGACTACAATCTTTCTCTGTATATACCCGTTTGTTTCTGCGTGGTGCACTGATCATAGTTCCTTGATAATGTGAGTAGTCACGAAAGCGCTTGGAATTTCTCTATTCTTTCAGAGTGGTTGTTTTGCATATTTTGAAATAACCTGTTTACTGTGATCTTATTGCATATATATATATATATATATATATATATATATATATATATATATATATATATATATATATATATATATATAAATAAATGCACAAAACCACCAGATTATTATGATATTCATGGGTCATAGAGCGCCTGAGGATTAGGATACAATCAGCTTGATCAAAATGAGACACATCCAGAGACAGACATGCACAGAATCTGGTCATTAAACATTAAATTAGTTAAAGTTATGACTTACAAAGAATTAAGGTAGTTGGTGACGCCCTTCCTGAAGGTGTTCTCTGACAGGAAGTGTTGCATCATGCGGATGATGGAAGCACCTGCAGTACAAGCAACATCAGTAAATATATAAGTTTTTATTTCAACTATGAGTACATAAAATTCAAATATTTTTAAAATGGTCTTATGGGCACATAAAAAGTACATTATGTAGATGTAGTTCAGGATAACCCAATAAAGTCAAATAATATGATTCTTTATGCCACTGGAATCACTCTTAATTTATATTGTTAAGCATATATGGAATTAATTATACAGATATGAGCATGTCATATAAGTTATTCAATTGTGAACATTTTACTAATATAACAAATCACTTGTTTCTCTTTCTGCAGCTTCATTCATTAGATATTCAGTGACTCTGTTCTTAAACTGTTTTATAATAAGACCCGACTTAGCTGTTTGACGCCTGGCTGCTTACTACTGACGTTATATGACGCCTGGCTGCTTACTACTGACGTTATATGACGCCTGGCTACTTACTACTAACGTTATATGACGCCTGGCTACTTACTACTGACGTTATATGACGCCTGGCTACTTACTACTAACGTTATATGACGCCTTGCTACTTACTACTGACGTTATATGACGCCTGGCTGCTTACTACTGACGTTATATGACGCCTGGCTGCTTACTACTGACGTTATATGACGCCTGGCTACTTACTACTAACGTTATATGACGCCTGGCTACTTACTACTGACGTTATATGACGCCTGGCTACTTACTACTAACGTTATATGACGCCTGGCTACTTACTACTAACGTTATATGACGCCTGGCTACTTACTACTAACGATATATGACGCCTGGCTACTTACTACTGACGTTATATGACGCCTGGCTACTTACTACTGACGTTATATGACGCCTGGCTACTTACTACTAACGATATATGACGCCTGGCTACTTACTACACACATTGCATGACGCCTGGCTACTTACTACTGACGTTGTATGACGCCTGGCACTACTGACGTTGTATGAAGCCTGGATACTTATTACTGACGTTGTATGACGCCTGGCTACTTACTACTGACGTTGTATGACGCCTGGCTACTTACTACCGACGTTGTATGACGCCTGGCTACTTACTACCGACGTTGTATGGCGCCTAGCTACTTACTACCGACGTTGTATGACGCCTGGATACTTACTACTGTCGTTGTATGACGCCTGGCTACTTGCTACTGACGTTGTATGACGCCTGGCTACTTACTGCTGACGTTGTATGACGCCTGGCTACTTACTACTGACGTTGTATGACGCCTGGCTACTTACTACTGACGTTGTATGACGCCTGGCTACTTACTACCGACGTTGCATGACGCCTGGCTACTTACTACTGACGTTGTATGAAGCCTGGCTACTTACTACTCACGTTATATGACGCCTGGCTTCTTATTACTAACGTTGTATGACGCCTGGCTACTTACTACTGACGTTGTATGACGCCTGGCTACTTTCTACTGACGTTGTATGACGCCTGGCTACTTACTACTGACGTTGTATGACGCCTGGCTTCTTACTACCGACGTTGTATGACGCCTGGCTACTTACTACCAACGTTGTATGACGCCTAGCTCTTACTACCGACGCTGTATGACGCCTAGCTGCTTACTACCGACGTTGTATGACGCCTGGCTACTTACTACCGACGTTGGATGACGCCTAGCTACTTACTACCGACGTTGTATGACGCCTATCTACTTACTACCGACGTTGTATGACGCCTAGCTACTTACTACCGACGTTGTATGACGCCTAGCTACTTACTACCGACGTTGTATGACGCCTAGCTACTTACTACCGACGTTGTATGACGCCTGGCTACTTACTACCGACGTTGTATGGCGCCTGGCTACTTACTACCGACGTTGTATGACGCCTAGCTACTTACTACCGACGTTGTATGACGCCTGGCTACTTACTACCGACGTTGTATGGCGCCTGGCTACTTACTACCGACGTTGTATAACGCCTAGCTACTTACTACCGACGTTGTATGACGCCTGGCTACTTACTACCGACGTTGTATGACGCCTATCTACTTACTACCGACGTTGTATAACGCCTAGCTACTTACTACCGACGTTGTATGACGCCTAGCTACTTACTACCGACGTTGTATGACGCCTGGCTACTTACTACCGACGTTGTATGGCGCCTGGCTACTTACTACCGACGTTGTATGGCGCCTGGCTACTTACTACCGACGTTGTATGACGCCTAGCTACTTACTACCGACGTTGTATGGCGCCTGGCTACTTACTACCGATGTTGTATAACGCCTGGCTACTTACTGTAGGGACTATAAAACTTTCTCTAGCACTACAAGTGCTTTAGATCCAAACCTTAGCGAAATTTACATCAACATATTTTAGGCACTAGATGTTAGGAAGGATGGAAGGAAATAGAATCACTCCGTCAGTGTATAAGTCTGTTGTGGAGGGTCGGCCTATTAAATGCTGCAGGCGGGGGGGAAGGAGGTTTTGTGTGCGAGGGGCTTGGACTTCCAGCAAGCGTGCGTGAGCGTGTTAGAGAGGAGCGAATGGAGACAAATGGTTTTTAGAACTATACGTGCTGTTGGAGTGTGAGCAAAGTAATATTGATGAAGGGAATCAGGGAAACCGCCCGACCGGACTTGAGTCCTGGAGATGGGACGTACAGTGTCTACACTCTGAAGGAAGGGTGTTAAGGGTGTTAATGTTGCAGGTTTATAATTGTAGTGTAAGTGTGCCTCCGGCATGAAAGTGATGGAGTGAATGATGAAAGTTTTTCCTTTTCGGGCCACCCTGCCTTGGTGGGAGACAGACTATGTGTTAATAATAATAATAACAATAATAATAATAATAATAATAATAATAATAATAATAATAATAATAATAGAAAGTTTGAAATACATGAGAAGTTTCAGTTGCTTCATTCAGTCTGACACTTTAAGAATTTCCAGTTTTCGAAATTCATGTTGACATACTTGTTGACTTATGCCAGGTTCAAAGATGAATCTTACTCTCTTAATCTGGATAATTTATAGTCTTTGTTCAGCTTGTTCAAACAGAGTTTCATGAAGAACAACCCACATTGTGTTAGTACTAGACATAAGCTTTTGATTGAACAGGTGGACAAGCGCTTGCTTATACAAGAATATTAAGAAGGCATTTGTTTATTTTAGTACAGAGTTTATTATTAGTTCAACTGGCAAGAATGGACCAAAGGATATTCTAGGATATTTCACCCTTTTGATCTGAGCCAAACACAATCTTTCTGTTTTCATTTAAGTGCAGTGCAGCTTGATTCAGGAGGAGGATCACTGCAGCAGACCTGTTGGCCCATACTAGGCAGGTCCTTTGCAATCCATCACACTAACAAAACTTTTGCCCAACTCAATTTTCAGTGCTACCCAAGAAATAAGCACTGATAACTCTATCCACTCATTTGCAAGTCCCACTCAAATCCAACCCCTCTCACTCATATATTTATCCAACCTAAATTTAAAACTACCCAAAGTCCTAGCTTCAATAACCCAACTAGGTAGAGTGTTCCACTTATCAACTACCCTATTTCCAAACTTAACAGTGGTGACCTGTACTTAACTCAGTAAAGAAGTGTCTTGTGTGCTCTCCGTGGACTGAACCAAGATGCCCTCCGTCGAGCAACTTTACCAACGGCTTAAGGAAGAATTGAGAGTAGCGAAGATGGAGATACGGCAATTGACTGATGAAAACAAGAGGATTCGTAGTAGTCCTCCTGTTTTGAGTCCTCAGGTCAAGAAGGGAACGTGGTCAGTGGCTGGACAGCAGGGAACGAAGTTGACGATCAAGAAGAATGGAAAGACAGAAACGATGAAAAAGAAAGAGACTGCTGTGGAAACATCTAATGCATTCTCCGTGCTACCCGACGAATGTGAGTCGACTGCTGGGAACGTCACGACGAACGACACCAAGGAAGGTAAGAATATTATTGTTGTTGGGGATAGCCAGGTTAGATACATGGATACGGCATTCTGCTTGAAGGACAGGAGTAGGAGACAGAGGGTTTGCTTTTCTGGGGCTGGGATGGAGGACATTGTTAGCCGGCTTGACATCATGAACGGTAATGGGATCAATCCTATTATCTGCCTCAGTGCTGGAGGCAATGATGTAGGCAAGCGTAGAAGTGAGGATTTAGTTAGAAAATTCAGGACAGCTATAGACATAATTAGGAAGAAGGGGGGGCGCCCTGTTATATGTGGCATTTTGCCAAGAAGAGGTGTTGGTAATGAATGGTTGTCCAGAGCAATTGGTATTAATTGTTGGCTGGATAAACACTGTAAGGATAATGCAGTACCATTCATTGACAACTGGGACAACTTCTATGGCCGAAATGACATGTATGCCAGGGATGGGGTTCACTTATCCAGGGCAGGTGTGGGTTTTCTTGCTAGCTCAGTTGAGGGGGTTGTTAGGACTTTAAAGTAGAATTAGTTAGAGGTATGAGTTTAGAAATGATAAATAATGAGTATGGATATATTGACTTATGCTCTGATATTAAGAATCTTAATAGTAACTGTCATGGAGTAACTCTGGGTAATGATAATTTCAGAAATTGTGTAAAAACAAAGATGAATAGGAAAAATGTACAGAAGAAAAAACATATGATGGTATTTTATGCTAACAGTCGAAGTGCAAGAAATAAGATTAATGAACTGCGTTTGGTAGCATGTGCTGGGAACTTTGATGTCATTGCATTAACTGAAACGTGGTATGATTTAAAGAGTCGGGATATGATTGCTGAGTGTAATATTCAAGGGTTTACGCTCTTCCATGTGGATAGATGTTATGGGAGGGGGGGAGGAGTTGCATTGTATGTTCGAGAAAATATTAACTGTTGAATAAAAACAGGTATAAAAATAGATGGAACAGTAACAGAATCTGTTTGGGTAGAGTTTGTAGGTCAAGAAAAACTTATTCTAGGTGTAATCTACTGACCTCCAGACTTGGATCACGATAGAGGGAGACTTCTTCGGGACGAAATTGTTAGGGCTTCTAGACACAAT